ATTATATTTTTAATTTTAAATTTAAAAAATAATTTTTTATTAAATATATTATACAATATATTAAATAAAAAAGCATAAGAAATTATCTCTTAAGATTTCTTTTAAAAATCAAACTTCCAACAATAAAAAAGAGAACAAACTCTCTATCAACTTAACCATCACCCCTGAAGTATGAAAATTTTGATACAATCATGTTTGATTTAAGATTAGTAAATGTCCCGCTGCTTCTTTCAATATCATTAAACCTACTAGTGGAAATATAACAAATCAAGTGTATTCTAACAACATGATGTTGTATGTCTCTTTTGTGAGATCTTTTTTTGCAGAGTACAAAAAATTCTAGTAGTACTAGTAACTGATTTGTAAAGGAAGAGAAAAAATCTAGTAGTACTAGTGTCAATGTAAAATAAAAACTTGAAATTAAAAGCTGATATAAAATATCCAAAAGCTAGGCTCTAATCACTATCCAATTAATACCCCTATAACTCTCCCAACTGAAAAATGTTCACTAATAATAATGAGATCAATGGTAGAGCTAGCTAGCTGAGGGAGCAAGCTCTTTTAATATCCTATATAGTCCAAGCTATATGGCATATTACTTAATTATTACTAGCAGCTCTCTTTTATTAGTCTTTGAATTTTGGGGCTTGTTGGTCTGAATGTACGTATGTATGTAGGCACAAGGACACAGGCAGCCAAAACAGCCTCATCTTTGTCATTGTCTCCTTCAGTTCCCCATTTTCTGGCCGCTCATGACATTGTCACTGCTACACTGTTCACCATATGTAGCAGCTTTTATTTCAGTGTAGAGTCATTAAGTCTTGCCTAGATATTTAAAACCACAATATTAATGTTGCTGTTCTACTATCTTGCTTGCCTTCTTGTTTCCATGACTACTTTTCTTTTCTACTACTAGTATTAGAATTTGAAATCAAAGAAAATCAGGTTATTTTGACAATTAAAATATTATAGATAATAATAACAAAGTTAAAGCATTTTTTTATAAATTAATACAATAAAAAATTTATTTTAAATATTTAAATAATTTTATGAAAAAAAATTCTAACATTTAAAATATTAAATTTAATTTTTTACAACAGAAACATATTTCATATGCTTCAAAAAACTCGATTCATCAATAATAAATTAACTTCTATCACTCCTGATGAGTTCCTTCGAGTTTTTAGGCAAAACCATAAGTTAAGCCTCTGAACTAACCCCAGAATCACTATTAAGCCCCTAAACTTTAATTGATGCATATAAACCTTGAACTCTGCTATCAAAGCAGTTAAGCCCTTCCTCTTACGCCAACTTAACTGCCATTTGAACGTGCTCGCATGGCTTAACTGCCGTTTATGCTTGGCTGCTTGGATGGCAAAATATTGCCATGTCATGCTTATATGGCAAGGGATTTAACATTTGAGTGGGATTTTTTACTTATTTGATCATTTAATTTTTTATATTAAATAAAGTCTAAATAAAATAAAATCATACATTTGAGTGAAAATATTATTTAAATAAAATCTTAAATTTAAATTTAATAAACAAAGTAATAGACACTAAAATTTTTTTATATAATTCATTGTAATTTAATTTTAAATTAGTTGAGACTAATACAACTTTTAAATTTTGAGAGTTTAATAAAAAAAATAGTATCATTTAAAATGATAAATTGATAATTACATGATATATGATATTAAATAAATATAATACGAAAAAAGTGCATATTAATTTTAATTTTTAAAATAAATTAAAATTTCAAATTTAAAGTAAGTACCTCATTTTATCTAATTAAAACTCAATTTAAAATTTAAAAGTTTATCTTTTTAAATATTAATATTTAAATTTAGAAAGTGATTTCATTATAATATATAATTAATTTTTGAATTTAGGTATCAACATTTAATAAAGTAAAATTTTAAATTTTGCATTGAAATTTTAGTTTCTAAATATAAGTTGAGATTCTAATTTTTTTTAAAAAATCATGACTGATACACTCTAATCTTATATTATAAATATTAAATAAATATATAGTATTATAAATAAATTTTTAAATAAAAACAAATTAAATATCGATGCACTAAATTATAAT